GATCTGGAGACTGGCTAGGCCACTCCAGGACCTTGAAATGCTTCTTACGAAGCCACTCCTTCGTTGCCCGGGCGGTGTGTTTGGGATCATTGTCATAATGAAAGACCCAGCCACGTTTCATCTTCAATGCCCTTGCTGATGGAAGGAGGTTTTCACTCAAAATCTCACGATACATGGCCCCATTCATTCTTTCCTTTACACGGATCAGTCGTCCTGGTCCCTTTGCAGAAAAACAGCCCCAAAGCATGATGTTTCCACACCCATGCTTCACAGTAGGTATGGTGTTCTTTGGATGCAACTCAGCATTCTTTGTCCTCCAAACACGACGAGTTGAGTTTTTACCAAAAAGTTCTATTTTGGTTTCATCTGACCATATGACATTCTCCCAATCCTCTTCTGGATCATCCAAATGCACTCTAGCAAACTTCAGACGGGCCTGGACATGTACTGGCTTAAGCAGGGGGACACGTCTGGCACTGCAGGATTTGAGATTTTGAGTCAATGTGATTTTCTGGATTTTTTTTTCTCATTTTGTCTGTCATAGTTGATGTGTACCTATGATGAAAATTACAGGCCTCTCTCATCTTTTGAAGTGGGAGAACTTGCACAATTGGTGGCTGACTAAATACTTTTTTCCCCCACTGTATCTTTAGTGTGTATCTGCTTATCCTTCCGAAAGTATTCATACCACTTGACTTATTCCACATTTTGTTGTGTTAGAGCCCGAATTCAAAATCGATTAAATGTAAAATAAAATTCTCACCCATCTATACACTACAGCCCAAAATGACAAAGTGAAAACATGTTAGACATTTTTGCAAATTGATTGAAAATGAAATACAGAAATATCTCATTTACATAAGTATTCACACCTGAGTCAATACTTTGTAAAATCATCTTTGGCAGCAATTACAGCTGTGACTCTTTCTGGGTAAGAGCTTTCCACATCTGGATTGTGTAACATTTGTCAATTATTATTTTCAAAATTCTTCAAGCTCTGTCAAATTGGTTGTTGATCGTTGCTAGACAACCATTTTCAGGTCTTGCGATTAAGCAGATTTAAGTCAACTGTAACTCGGCCATTCAGGAACATTCACTGTCTTCTTGGTAAGCAACTCCAGTGTAGATTTGGCCTTGTGTTTTAGGTTATTGTCCTGCTGAAAGGTGAATTGATCTCCCAGTGTCTGGTGGAAAGGAGACTGAACCAGGGTTTCCTCTAGGAATTTCTGTGCTTAGCTCCATTCTGTTTATTTTTTATCCTGAAAAACTCTCCCCAGTCCTTAACGATTACAAGCATACCCATAACATGATGCAGCCACCACTATGTTTGAAAATATAGAGAGTGGTACTCAGTAATGTGTTGCATTGAATTTGCCCCAATCATAACACTTTGTATTCAGGACATAAAGTTAATTGCTTTGTCCCATTTTCTGCAGTATTCCTTTAGTGCCTTGTTGCAAACAGGATGAATGTTTTGGAATGTTTGTATTCTATACAGACTCCCTTCTTTTCACTCTGTCAATTAGGTTAGTATTGGGGAATAACTACAATGTTGTTGATCCATCCTCAGTTTTCTCCTTTCACAGCCATTAAACTCTGTTTTAAAGTCACCATTGGCCTCATGGTGAAATCCCTGAGTGGTTTCCTTCCTCTCCGGCAACTGAGTTATGAAGGACCCCTGTATCTTTGTAGTGACTGGGTGTATTGATACACCATCCAAAGTGTAATTAATAACTTCACCATGCTCAAAGGGATATTTAATGTCTGCTTTTTATTATTTTTACCCATCTACCAAAAGGTGCCCTTCTTTGCAAGGCATTGGAAAACCTCCCTGGTCTTTGTGGTTGAATATTAGTTTTAAATTCACTGCTCGTCTGAGGGACCTTACAGATAATCATATGTGTGGGGTACAGCGATGAGGTAGTCATAAAAAAATAATGTTAAACACTATTATTGCACACAGAGTGAGTCCATGAACTTATTATGTGACTTGTTACAGGGTTGGAGAGCCCTGCACTAGAGACTCAGTATGTGTGTTCATCAAAAGAGTTGTCTGAACCAATATTAAGCTCTGTTCCTTTTAACTTTGCTCAGATTGTGGGTTGCCAGTGTGGGCCGTGGAGGCAGCGGTGTTGCTCAAAGGCAATCTGATATTTTAGAGGGCTCAGTCATGCTTACACAGTAATCTTATATTTGAGCGATGCCGCTGTGTTCATATCTACCAGCTGCCTCTCTCTGTGGCCTTTTAAATATTATGTTTATTAGGCCTATTTTATAGTACCATGTAGTGTAGATTACAGATCTTAAAAAATCTTTATTTTTACTGATGTTAGTTTAGTAAGTGTAGACCTGCTTAAGCAATCAGTATTTCTTTCTGGTTTTGAAGATGAAATAACCAATACTATCCATCCCCTAGCCCAGTGTTTCCCAATTCCAGTCCTCCAGTACCCCCAACGGCACACATTGTTATTGTAGTCCCGGACAAACTCACCTGATTCAAGTCATTGAGGGCTTGATGATGATGATGATGATTTTTTATTTTATTTTATATATATAATAGTAATAATAATAAGCTGTGTGTGTGGACAACCCTTCAAATGAGTGGATTCGGCTATTTCAGTCACACCCGTTGCTGACAGGTGTATAAAATCGAGCACACAGCCATGCAATCTAGACAAACATTGGCAGTAGAATGGCCTTACTGAAGAACTCAGTGACTTTCAACGTGGCACCGTCATAGGATGCCACCTTTCCAACAAGTCAGTTCGTCAAATTTCTGCCGTTAGAGCATCCCCGGTCAACTGTAAGTGCTGTTATTGTGAAGTGGAAATGTCTAGGAGCAACAACGGCTCAGCCGCAAAGTGGTAGGCCACACAAGCTCACAGAACGGGACGGGCGAGTGCTGAAGCGCGTAGCGCGTTAAAATCGTCTGTCGTCGGTTGCAACACTCACTACCGAGTTCCAAACTGCCTCTGGAAGCAACGTCAGCACAATAACTGTTCATCAGGATCTTCGTGAAATGGGTTTCCATGCCTAAGATCACCATGCCAAGCATCAGCTGGAGTGGTGTAAAGCTCACCATCATTGGACTCTGGAGCAGTGGAAAAGCGTTCTCTGGAGTGATGAATCACGCTTCACCATCTGGCATCATGACAGAATCTGCATTTCGAGTCTTGCTCAATACCCCAAATGCAAAGCATTTTCTTTGTTGACAGAATTTTATCGAATATCTTTAACTGAAAGGCTCTTGAGTATGTATCTATTGATGTTTTGTATGGAAAATGTATGGCCTGCTTCCATGTTATTGGGTTGTCAAATACATCTTCCCAATACGTTTGAAATGTTTATGGAATTGCAGATAGGTTATGGAAATTCAAAGTAAATTGGTATATTTCAGAAGTGATTTTGTCATTTTGTATCCATTTTTTGTGTATTTTTTAAAAAGTAGAACGGCATACAGTTAAATTGTGCTTTCCTTTCTTCATCTGAACTTTCCATGTGGGGGCTATAGCAGACACCAATTGAGCATGAGTTGTACAAATATCCCCATATGTTCCAAAATCTAACTTTCCGTCCTTGTCCACAATGTAATTTAGAAAATAAATGTTTTTCAATAAAGGATTGCCAACAAAGAGGTTGTCCATCAATTTCAATATTTGTGTTTTACCAAATAAGTTGCTGAATAATTTCTGGAATAAGTAGGTGTGTCTAAACTTTTGACTGGTTCTGTAGTTTCTGTATCCAAGACTCCTTCAAGGTCGCAACCAGGGCCTTTAAATTAGTAGGTCTTAGTCCACCCTCTTGAAATGAGTTATATATGTATTTTCTTTTAATTTCTCTGGTTTATTGTTCCATATAAATTTAAATATTTTCTGTTCATATCGTTTAAAAAAAGTATTATCTGGCGAAGGGAGAGACATTTGAAGATAATTGAATTGAGAGACAGCTAAATAATATATTAATGTGACTTTTCCATGGATGGAAAGATGATTGCCTTTCCATGTTAGCAATATTTTGTCAATCTTTTTACATTTAGCTTCAAAATGTACACTACCGTTCAAAAGTTTGGGGTCACTTAGAAATGTCCTTGTTTTCGAGAGAAAAGCAATTTTTTTGTCCATTTAAAAGAACATCAAATTGATCAGAAATACAGTGTAGACATTGTTAATGTTGTAAATGGCTATTGTAGCTGGAAACGGCAGATTTTTTATGGAATATCTACATAGGCGTACAGAGGCCCATTATCAGCAACCATCAGTCCTGTGTTCCAATGGCACGTTGTGTTTGCTAATCCAAGTTTATCATTTTAAAAGGCTAATTGATCATTAGAAAACCATTTTGCAATTATGTTAGCACAGCTGAAAACGGTTGTGCTGATTTAAAGAAGCAATAAAACTGGCCTTCTTGAGACTAGTTGAGTATCTGGAGCATCAGCAATTGTAGGTTCGATTACAGGCTCAAAATGGCCAGAAACAAAGAACTTTCTTCTGAAACTCGTCAGTCTATTCTTGTTCTGAGAAATGAAGGCTATTCCATGAAATTGCCAAGAAACTGAAGATCTCGTACAACGCTGAGTACTACTCCCTTCACAGAACAGCGCAAACTGGCTCAAACCAGAATAGAAAGAGTGGGAGGCCCCGGTGCACAACTGAGCAAGAGGACAAATACATTAGTGTCTAGTTTGAGAAACAGACGCCTCACAGGTCCTCAACTGGCAGCTTCATTAAATAGTAACCACAAAACACCAGTCTCAACGTCAACAGTGAAGAGGTGACTCCGGGATGCTGACCTAGGCAGAGTTGCAAATAAAAAGCCATATCTCAGACTGGCCAATAAAAATAAAAGATTAAGATGGGCAAAAGAACACAGACACTGGACTTTTTCTTTGCAACTCTGTTTATTGCCTAAAATGGATCAATTGAAAGTGTGGGTTCACAGCTCCAATCCAGATGTGTTGGTCATTACTGAGATGTGGTTAAGAAAGAGTGTTTTGAACACTGATGTTAACCTTTCTGGTTATAACCTTTTTCGGCAAGACAGATCTTCCAAAGGTGGTGGAGTGGCAATCTTTACCAAGGAACACCTTAGTGCTCGGCTGTCTCCACCAAGTCTGTCCCCAAACAATTTGATTTACTGGTTTTAAGCATTCAACTTTCAAATAGCTCTTTGTTGATTGTTGCTGGGTGTTATCGTCCACCATCAGCATCAGCCTGTACCGTACCTGCCCTAAGCTCTCTCCTGGCCCCTTACGCTAAGTCTGAATTTGTCCTGCTAGGTGACCTAAACTGTTACATGCTTAAACCACCTGACCAAGTCCTAAAGCAATGGGACTCCCTAAATCTTTCTCAGATTATTACCAATCCCACAAGGTATGACTCCAAACACCCAGAAAAGGCTACTCTCCTTGATGTTATCCTCACAAAGAATCATGATAGGTATCAGTCTGGTGTTTTCTGTAATGACCTTAGTGATCACTGTTTTATAGCCTGTGTTCGTAATGGCTGCTCAGTGAAACAACCTGTCCTGATTTGTCATAGACATTTGCTAAAACACTTTAATGAGCAAGCCTTCCTTCATGACCTGGCCTCTGTAAATTGGTATAGAATCAGCTTGATCCCCTCTGTCGAAGATGCTTGGACCTTCTTTTTTGATATTTTCAAGTGGTATTGTTAACACACGACCCCATAAAGAAAATGAGAATTAAAAACAGGTTCAGCCCCTGGTTCAACCTTGATCTGGCAGAGTTACTCCACCTCAAGAATTCCATTTGGCGAAAGGCTCAGCACACGCATACTCAAGTTGACTGACTCTCGTTCAGGCAAATGAGAAATAAGTGCACTTAGGCTATCCGGAAGGCCAAAGTGAGTTACTTTAAGGAGCAGTTCTCTCTCTGGGTCTAAACCCAAGAAGGTCTGGAAAACGGTTAAAGATCTGGAGAATAAACCCTCCTCCTCACAGCTGCCCATGTCCCTTAATGTTGATGATGAGGTTGTTACTGACAAGGAGCACATGGCTGAGCTCTTTAATCACCACTTCATTAAGTCAGGATTCCTATTTGACTCAGCCATGCCTCATTGCCCGTCCAACATTTCCTAATCTCCCACCCCTTCTAATGCGACTAGCCCAGATGCTCCTCCCTCTTTTTCCCCCTGCCCCGCTACAAAGTTTCTCCCTGCAGGCATTCACTGAGTCTGAGGTGCTAAAGGAGCTCCTTAAACTTGACCCCAAAAAACCATCTGGGTCAGATGGTTTAGGTCCTTTCTTCCTTAAGGTTGCAGCCCCTGTCATCGCCAAGCCTATCTCTGACCCTTTTAACCTGTCTCTCCTCTCTGGGGAGGTTCCCATTGCTTGGAAGGCAGCCACAGTGCGTCCTTTATTTAAAGGGGGAGATCAAGCTGATCCTAACTGTTATAGGCCAATTTCTATTTTTCCCTGTTTATCAAAAGTGTTAAACTTGTCAATAGTCAACTGACTGGCTTTCTTGATGTCTAGTGTTCTCTCTGGTATGCAGTCTGGTTTCCGCTCAGGTTGTGGATGTGTCACTGCAACCTTAATGGTTCTAAATGATGTCACCATTGCCCTTGATTCTAAGCAATGTTGTGCTTCTATTTTTATTGACTTGGCCAAAGCTTTTGATACGGTAGACCATTCCATTATTGTGGGCCGGCTAAGGAGTATTGGTGTCTCTGAGGGGTCTTTGGCCTGGTTTGCTAACTACCTCTCTCAAAGAGTGCAGTGTATAAAGTCAGAACATCTGCTGTTTCAGCCACTGCCTGTCACCAAGGGAGTACCCCATGGCTCGATCCTAGGCCCCACACTCTTCTCAATTTACATCAACAACATAGCTCAGGCAGTAGGAAGCGCTCTCATCCATTTATATGCAGATGATAGTCTTATACTCAGCTGGCCCCTCCCCGGATTTTGTGTTAAACGCTCTACAACAAAGCTTTCTTAGTGTCCAACAAGCTTTCTCTGTCCGTAACCTTGTTCTGAACACCTCCAAAACAAAGGTAATGTGGTTTGGTAAGAAGAACGCCCCTCTCCCAACCAGTGTGATTACTACCTTTTGAGGGTTTAGAGCTTGAGGTAGTCACATACAATTACTTGGGAGTATGGCTAGACGGTACACTGTCCTTCTCTCAGCGCATATCAAAGCTGCAGGCTAAGGTTAAATCTAGACTTGGTTTCCTCTATCCTAATCGCTCCTCTTTCACCCCAGTTGGCAAAGTAACCCAGATTCAGATGACCATCCTACCCATGCTAGATTACAGAGATGTAATTTATAGCTCGGCAGGTAAGGGTGCTCTCGAGCGGCTAGATGTTCTTTACCATTCGGCCATCAGATTTGCCACCAATGCGCCTTATAGGACACATCACTGCACTCCATACTCCTCTGTAAACTGGTCATCTCTGTATACCAATAAAAGATTGTCCCCAACTAAAACGCTCCCAATTACAGTTTAAGAGTGCAGCTTGGGTTTAAAATTGTCCCATCGATGACAATTACAGTTCAGAGCTGCTTAGGCCCCCATAGGCCGAGAAACAAAGCTCTGATAAGAAGTTCAGCTGCCTCGTCAAACCTCAGCGTTCAGAGCTACTGGTATTGACAAGAAAATCCCTGTTGCCTTATCTTGTGTTTTTTATTATAGAGATTGCCATTATAACCCCCCGCTACTAATAGATTTGTATTGATCTATTCTGGGTAGTGGTAGAAAGGGCCCGTATTGGTAAGCAGTAAGTAGTGGAGGAAAGATGCGAGGTGAGTTGGACCCATGCTGGTTGCGATAACTTCCCCCTGCTTAGGTCGTGGCACTCAATACATTAACATTTCCATTTTAGTCATTTAGCAGACGCTCTTATCCAGTGCAACTTACAGGAGCAATTAGGGTTAAGTGCCTTGCTCAAGAGCACATCGACAGATGTTTCACCTAGTTGGCTCAGGGATTCAAACCAGCAACCTTTCGATTACTGGCTCAATGGTTTTAACTGCTAGGCTACCTGCCACCCCACAACAATGGCCTCGCCCTACCTGCTCGCTCAGAGACTCTGGATATGAAACATGCTGTTGTATCGATCTGATGCTGTTTGTTGTGGGATTATTAATTATGTGGATGCTGCCACTCGCTAGCTGCTGTCTAGACACCCCTAATGGCCTTGGTGCCCTTCTCACACACGAGGAGGGAATTTGTAGTAAACCAGGCTGAAGCCATTTTCTCTCGCCATTTAATCTGATGGTGATGGGCTTTCATCTTGGATATAATACAGTCTGTGTTTAGAGTACGATCCAATAAGTGGTCCTCAGTGGCTAAGCTAAAGGCTTCATTCAGGCTAAAGGGTTAAAAGGGGTTTAACAGTAATTGGATCTAGTCTACTCTAGGCTAAATCGATATGAAATCTGTAGCTTATGTGATATATTTCACTGTTATTTGATGCAGACACATTTCTATGATCTACACTGTAAGGCTCAGTAGTCTCTGCACTGTCTGAATGAATGTATTAATTTCTCACACAAAACAAGTCTCTGATTCATTTAGTATCTGTCAGATTCACGCTGTCCAACATTTAAAAGTAATGCTCGGGTGCATTTTACTTTCAATACACGTCGGTAGATCTGATTTAATCAAAGCTTTTATCTTTCAAATGCAACTAGACCTTGTAAATCGGCATCAGTGGGACAGAACTAATAAACACACCGGCATCCTAGCTAAAAGAGCTCTGATGTTATCAGTGTTTAACAACAATAACAGAGCTATGTCTGATATCAGCACAGTCATCTAGACAAGGTCCACAGACAGCTAGACATACCACTTTTCCCCTTTAGTAGAGACTTCAGGCATCTAGCAGTGCTGACGTCCAGCGAGCAGTTCCATGTCATTAGGCTCTAAGCAGGTGTCACCCTGTCACGGCCATGTGTGTGAGATCCAGGCTGGCCATAGTGTGCCCACATATACATCTCTCACTCCTCCACAACCACAGATGTTTTGAATACCAACAGACTAGTTTGAATTAGCTGCTAATCAGTGGAGGCTGGTGACTTGAAAAAATGAGGAGGATGAGAGACCCACGGTATAGGCGCGGAACGCACGGAGACGTCAAAGTGTGTTTCAAAAATCATCCGAGTAATTCATTATTTTTACCTAAAGCATTTAATAAAGACATTTTATAGTACAATATTATGGGGAATGTGAATGAGAGGGCTACTTATACCATGTTGGGAAGGGATCACCGCAGTGATTGAATTAGGGCATGAGTTGAGGTGTTCAGAGGCTTGACTTCAGTGCAGGACAGGATTTGACTGGGAAGACAAAAACAATAACAGAACACACTACACAGTTAGACAAAATAGCTAAGAATGAGTTAGTCCAAGCAAGGAGTAAAATCATTGATGTGTAATAATGTGATTGTGTTTGTGTATGTGATTGACTCTACATACAGTAATGAGAGAAAATTGATAGGGGTACTCACCGTGCTTGGAGAGCGGGCACATGAGACGTGGCTTCAGTTTATGTCAGGAGAGAGTTGACAATGGTAGTGGAGTGAAGTTGTCATCACCTCTTAATCAGGGAACAGGAGAGGACTTCGCTATAAATACAAATAGCAGATACATTCCATTACAGCCGCGCCATCGTAGGTTTGAAAAACAAGTTTCTCCATGAAGTTAAACACAGACTGTGCATCTCACCCACTTGACACATCATAGTAGGCCAAGAAACGTTCCTGAATAAAGCCCTGATCATCCACATACCTGTCTAACTGACAACTGCAAGCAGACTGGTGGCACCATAGGTCCTAGATTGGGGGGGGGGATTATACTTCTTTATATTAATTAGACTAGATTAGGAGGGGGATTTCCTCTACCCAGACACAGAGACAACAACTGATGGACAATAGAACTCACAGGGCTGAGCTTGCTTTATGCATGTTTGCATCATGCAGGCAACTGTAGGCCTTATAAAAAATCTACTCACATCTGTCATCACTATTATGCTGATTGATTCATTCCAGTTAATAATTTTGTATTGAAAACGTATAGGCAGCCTAGCCAGCCCAATTTTGAATATAAACTAAATTTGATCATATTCACATTTTCTCCTGACACACAAATCGACTATAAATACATAACGTTACCAATGAGTTACCCTGAACAAATGGACAGCGCACATAGGCTGTATGCAGCTGCTCTAATTAGTAGCCTACAGTTGATCAGAATGAAAAACCGTCTCGTTTTCATCTCATACAGCATGTCATATCTCTCATGTTTAGGTGTAGCCTAGGCTGCTGCAACATTTATGTAATGAGTTTTTGCTTTTGTCTGTCCGGAGTGCTTTTTGTTATCATCTTTGCTAAATAAATACCGGAGGAAAGTGGAAAACCTACTTTAGCGTGCGCGAAAACATGCGCTGCGTCAACCTCTCTCTTTAATCTAACTTTTAATGGATGATGCGATGGAAGCTATGAAATCATTCTGAATTTATTTCAACATCCCAGAAAAGACAGTAGAAAGTTCCATATGTTCCGTAAGTAAAGCATCGTAACACGCAATTACCGCGGCAAGCTCCTAGTAGTTGCACTTGTTAGCGGGAACTTTCCCTCTCGTCATGTACTCTAAAAGCCAATTCTTGCATGCCCAAAAACACAGTGGTGTTGATAAGCCGCTTGAGAACATCCCTGTTTCTTCTTACTTTCTCGTTGTGTTGCGCAGTTTGAATACGCAGACTTTCGTCATGATTGTTGCTGCTTTTTCTGATGTGGGCGTTTTATATGCTCCCTGCTTTTGTTTTGCCGTTTAGCTGAACGATAGATGTTCTTCAGGTCACTGTACCCCTCTTTCGCCCAAGGCTGACTTTCCAAAAAGCAGGCAAGGCCAGCAATACAGGCGGCTTGATGAAAGACTCCCTGTTAACCTCCCGAGTGGCGCAGTGCTAGCTGTGCCACTAGAGATCCTGGTTCGAATCCAGGCTCTGCTGTAGCTGGCCGCAACCGGGAGATCAATGGGGCGGCGCACAATTGGCCCAGCGTCGTCCAGGGTAGGGGAGGGAATGGCCGGCAGGGAGGTAGCTCAGTTGGTAGAGCATGGCGTTTGCAACGCCAGGGTT